GTAGTATTTTCCTGTATCAAAAACATTAAGTTGCTGGAATTCTGCCCTTATTTTAATCACTTCTAATTCAGTTCTTTCTCATTAGCCCTGCCTTCCTAACTTTATCCCCTTTCTAAGTATCACCACCTATGATTGATTTCTTTCTCAGATATATTATGTAAATTCAATACACCTACTCTACTCAGTATCCATCATACTAAATAAATACTGGGGTATAAAGATGAATAAAGCACAGGCCTCACCCTTTGTAATCAGTTTTCAAATTTATTTAACGAATTGGAACTTCAGATTATCACGTCCTTTACAGAGCCTAGGTGTACGTTTCATTCCTTTCTGTTAGCTAGTCACAAACTCAGTATACATTTTAAAGTTTATACCTTTCTTCTTAATTTTTATAAATCTATTTCACATAGGCATATAGATATCCTAGAATAAAATAAATCCTACTTCTACAAGGAAAAAGAAAAAAAAAAAAAATGCACAAAGGACCTTTCTAATAGACCAGGTTTATTTTCAAAAACAAGATCCCGATCTTTTTTATTCTATACTTTTCCTTTCAATTTATCTCAGATATTTACTGGAATTCTTTTGTATATTGTAGCAGAAGCAGATCTAAAGATTCCTGTAACTGGATGGCCTCAAATTCACTGATTCACTTGTCCAACGTTGAGTACTTATTATGTTAGAAAATATAAAAGAAAGCTTATAATGAAAGAAAGGAAATGAGAATCTAGCCTAAATATTAAATCACTGCCCTAAATGAGCTGATAGGAAGATCAAATTCATGTAAGTGACAATTAAATTCTGCAGTCTATATATACTAGCATGCAGTAGAAGAACAGATTATTGAAACTACTACTCTTTACATTCATACTTAAAATGACACAAATTCCTCATGAGTCACAGGTTTAAACTTTGAAATGAGATACGTTCAAGTCGGAATGTATCAAGACTGTGGATCAAGACGCACCTGGGTTATGACAATGAACACAGCAATGCCCGTGGATGCAGGAGTAGAATCCCATTGGAGAGGTCTGCTCTGTGACTTCTTCATTCGGACTATTGTCCAACCCATGCACAGACTCAGAAGTAGGTATAACATCTGAATTTGGGAAGCGATGTCAAAAACTAATGGAAAATAAAAACCAAAGTCAACCAAGTCACCATAATACAAAGAATTTGGTCCTTTTTGCATTTAGAACACAATTATTGTTTAGCATCCATTAAAAAATAGGCATTTTCAAAGAGAAGCTTAAGAAATTCAACAAAAGATACTTATGTATAGTAATTCTAAAGAATTAAGATGTTACCATTACCATAAAATTTGTAAACATTTATAACAAAAAGTTAAAACAATGACAATGTTCCTTTTTTAAAAATATATACTGCATTTTTCAAAATAAACACGCCCATGTAAATAACACACATAGCACCTAGGAACATAATGTGCGAGGGGGATGAGCCGTTGGCAGAAAACACATAATGAGCACGTTCTTTGCATAGAAATACAGTATTCACGTGTCCATATAATATCATAGTTATCTCTATTAAGGTCAACCTTAAATCACCTTGCATTTCCATTTTTCTTAGCCTTTTTAATTATGTTATCTTGTTCTCTATAATTCATTGCTTAATAAAATAAAATTTTAATTGTAATTTGTGCAATGTGAAGAACACTAGTGCCTTCCGTTCTGGTGGTGGTAATTTTTTTTTAATGGATAAACTATAATATGAAGAGTAAGTATTTTCTAAAACTATTAATAAGAAATAACAACAATATAGTGCATAGCCACACAACATCTAATTATGTGGGCTTTAGTTTCAGAGTGCTGATAACAAACGGAATGCTCTGTGCATTAGAGCCATGTGCCACCAGGTGGCCATCACTTACACTGCAGGGGAAGCCTGCTACTCTAAAATAAGATGTAACAAGATCACCTGAATCCAGTTAAGTACCACAAGAAAACAATAAAAATCTATAGATAGTTCAAGTTTCATGCTTATTTGTTTTATAAGCTAGTATTTATTGATTAAAAAAGGTTTTAACTTTCTCATCATAGTGTATTTTGATTTAGATTTTGGAATAAATTTATGACCACAATTTAATAAAACTTTCTTCAAACTGTCATCCATAACTTCAGTGCTTTGAACTTTTACTTCTCTTATACAAGGATATTCTTGTAGGAACAGATAAAACTGGCTTTAGTGTAATATTTATATTTAAAAGTTACTAGTCAAATATCTATTAATGATAAAGCTTTTCAGATATATTTTGACATACTTTTCCCTGCTGTGCCATCCAAATTACAACAGGATACTTTGTATTTATAC